CCTGGCACTCCACTTCTAGTATGAATCTCAGTTTCCAACACATCCAGCACTGATGTCCACCCAAAATTTGTTGGATAAAGAGTCTGTACATGTTGTGAATTTCTCCATTCATAGATTTGGCAAGTGTGCTCTGAGGCAATGCTGTCTGAAGGAGTCATGGTCCAGAGGAAGTCTTGCAGAATCATAGTGTGCCATTTGCTGCCATTTACATGCATGAGCAGTGGACAAACTATCACTCACAGGATCATTGTAAAGTATTCTGACAGTGAATGAAGCTAGTTTATTGAACAGATCTTCAGTAAGCTCCTCATTTTTTTCAAGGTGTTGCATAGTCACCATGTGCATATCAACTGTTCTAATTGTAAGATTTACTGCATTGATGTAACTTTACCACATCCAAAGAAACCTCCTGGTGTGTCTACTCTAGTGAATCCGTAAATCCCAGGAGCAGCAGATGCTACATTATGCTCTGGAAATAATGAACAGCAGTAATAGTATGATGGTGCATCTCCTGGTTTCTTCTTGTATATAACTTGCTCAGTTATGCGACTGATGTAGGAAGTGACAACCCATACATCAGTATCTTCAAAATTAAAAATGATGGTGCAGGAATTATCCATTTGAGCTGCATGGAAGAACACCCTTGTGTCAGCCTCACATGGAGATTTCAATACAAAGCATGCATCACGTTCTCTGGATTTTAAATCATAACAGACAAGATTCATTGTGAAGTACATCAGCATGGTGGAAGTAAGAACTCCATTCATTCAAGAGGTAACATTGTTGTCTCATTTTGTTACAATGCTTTGATAGAAATGAGCACCAGGATGCTCCAATAGGCATTTACTGGTCAGAAACAGGGTAGATGTTAAGAACAAACCTGAACGACTTTGAGTAACACTGCTGCCCATGCTGTTTTGTACTAATCTTCAACAGTTCTTCATCATAAACATCATTAATGAAATGAAATGCCACTGCTTGTGGATGTAGGCCAGTGACATACTTGAAGAAACTGAGAGCATATTCAGACCATGTCTTTCTTGGTGGGACTTTATTCCATATCATTCCAACATTTATTAATGCAGGATAATGTGATGGTGGTGAGATTGACTGGAGGTTCATAAATTTTTATTTGACAGGTTTGTGGAATGTCTCATCTGCTTGGAAGAACAAAAGGCTCACAGAAGTGTGAGCATAATTGTGTATTGCATAATTTCCTCTAAAGTCATGGTAGTCTCTTTTCCACTGATTAAAATGTCAGTGACTTATTTCATTGCAGTACAGTCAACCATTTTCCTACACTCTAGCTTGCAGTTCTCTTTGTTGCAAAAGTCTCACTTTTTGTGTCATGTATTGACTGAGTTCTGGAAGAAAGTTTCTCCAGAATGTTTCCCAGAATCACATTACCCTCATCATGGGCCGTGTGGAGACTCTTCTTTACTTCTTCATTTACCTGCTCTCCAGAGCAAAGGGAACAAAGAGTTGGTCAATTCAGATCCCATGGGTTTGCGCCCCATTCTTCCAGAGCTGTCTTCACTGCAACAACAACCTTGCAGTCCATCTCCATTCTTAATGGACCCAGTTCTGGATGGCAATACAGGAGTTGCTTGAAATGAGCCACCTGTTTTAGTTGTTCCTTAACTGCATAATAACTGGTTTACTGAGTATGATGATTGCAATCATGGACAGATTCTTGGTAAATCTAATCCATCCCCCACTTCTTCTGTTCTAGGATTCCTTGCTCATGGTCATTTCAATGACTTGGTCTGCAGGCAGTTTGCTCTAAGTGAAAAATTGTAGTCATGTACACCTTTTCATCTTCTCCCAGTGTCGTCATTCACTAGTAATACATTTATTTACCGGTAATACAGGAGTGTTAAATAGTTGACATTTCCATAAGCTGCTAATAGTGGAAGCATTGTACGGCAAGTTGATAAATACTCTTTGAAATTAATTCCACTCCTCAGACAATAGTAATGCTGAAAGAGGATTTCAACATCAATAATATAAGATGGAAAATACTTGGCTATATCTGATTCACAACTGAGCATTTCTTCAAACACTGACTGTACCAATTCATGAAAAGTAGTTGAACTGATGAATTCATCATGTCAATTTTCTATAGTGATATCTACCAACTGTTTCAAGCTGTGAATTGCTTCAGTATTTTTATGGAGGTATCTATGGATTAACATATTCAGTAAACCTTCTGTTGCTAGTTTGTGGAGGCACTTTCCTCAGTTGTAATGTTTACCTGAAAACGCTCTTTGTGCACCACCTGCAACCACAGCCCCTACAGCAACAGCTAATTCTTTAAGACCACTATGGCCACATCCACACATGCAGGCACGTGTGCTTGCAACAGCTCAAATACCAATGGCACAAATTTGTGCCAGAGATTTGTGCCTTAGCACACATGCCTGAACATGCACTTCGGTGTGGGGCAAATTGTGCCAGTTGAGGCAAACTGACCCTGCTAGCTCCTCCCAGATCCTCTGCCAGGGTGAGCTAGAGGCTGGGGCCAGCACGGGTGCTGGCCCCAGCAGTATAAAAAGCTGTCCTGGCAAGCAGCTTAGGGTTCTTTGCCCTTAGAAGATTCTGAGGCCCAGCCTGCTGGTATCTGGGGACACTAGCTCTTTGTTCCAGCTGGACTGCTTAAGAAGTCCTAAGCTAGAGTGGCCCCTGCACCCTCTACCCACTGCAGCAGTCTGGCAGTGGAGGCTGGTGCCTGGCTGTGATCTGCTGCCACCTGCAACAGCATCTTCCCCCTTGGACCTGCGGCCCCATGGCTGCATGCCTGCCAGACCCAGACAGAGACTGCACATCCACCTGGGCTGTGATATGGGCACTGCAGCAGAGCCTCCTCCACTTCTGGGCCAGCTGCTAGCGGGCAGCAGGCTGGAGCAGCAGGGGCACAAGGCAGGCATAAAGATGGTCTGGCTGGGTGCTACACAGTCTCATCAGCAGATCCAGCATCTGGTTCCTTCAGGGCATGCTCTGAGAGAGTGCCCTGTGCCACTTCCCAGCATGCTTTTTTTTTTTATACCAGGATTTCCCAGTATCAAAATTAGAGTCTGCGCTGCAAATATGCAGTGTGGGGAATTTTTTTTCATTCCCAGAGTGCCTCCTGAGGTGTCTCAAACTGCTTTGAGATGCTGCAACAGGCACGTGCTCACTTGTCTGGATGCAGCCTACCTGCATATCTCTTTCGAACAGCATTGAGATAAGATGTTTCTGTGTGAAACCCACTAAGTATCCCTTTCACATGAGCCCATCTCTTCTCATATTCACAAAAGGCCTCTTCGATATATCTATACATTGCTTGATCTGCATCAACTGAATCACTGGCATCTTCTTCAGGTCAGCAACTTTCTGGCAACTATCCATCACATCTATAACAACTTTTTTGTTTGGACGCTGTATGTAACATTTAACTTTGTATGTTTCACATTTCATGACATTGCTTTCAAGACAGCGATGATATCTAGTTAATGCTGGGACCCTTCCGTGTGGCTGAATCACTTGGAGAAATGCATGGGCAGTTAACCAGGGCACCAGTATTCCCTCAGAGCTAACCTCCAATCTTCACGGTTGTGGCTGAGCATGTAATTTGCCACTCCCATAATTTTTGGAAATAACTGGGCAGACTAGACTTTTCTGAACTTCAGGTTTTGGTATAACCAAGGTGGTTGTATCTGAAATAGTTCATTCTTGGTGAAATGAAATTGGTTGCACCAAAATCAAAATTGGCCTCAATTTATTCATCTCATTAGCCATGGGCACTATTTTTAAAGATGGCGACCAAATGTCATGGTTAGAAAAGTGACCCCCCAAGCTAAATTTCTTCCTTAAAATCTCAGTTATGAATTACGAAAATAAAAAAGGTCACTCCCAAAAAACACACAGGCCTCATATATATGACTAGATTATTTATACACATGGCCAGAAAATCTTACCAAATATTACATTTAAATGGAAAACAGGAGCAGGTTTTTTTTGTCATTTTTAGACAGTTCTACTTATTTATTTTTAAGGTTTTCTGAATCATCCAGAACAGTCGTATCTAAGCAGCAGCATAGACATAATGCAGCCATGACTCATCTGGCACATAGGGATATGCCATGCTCCTCATTTTGCAGTTAGAGACACTAAGGTACAGATACATTTAATAACTTGACTGAGGTAACAAAGGAAGTCTGCAGCAGAGCCAGGAATAAAAACCCAGTTCCCTGGGACCCAGTTCAGTCTCTGATGGCCCATTCTGCTGCCTTAAATAGGAGGATGTGAACAAGTTTATTTTATTAATCAAGTTCTTAAAAAAAATACAATGAAGGACTAAAATATAGACACATTTAAATAAAAAACTGTAAAAAGTAAAACAGGCTTTTTTCAGGATATTAGGGCATCACATATATATTAATGATGAATTGGGTTTTAGTTTATTTATAAATGTAGAATTAGCAACCAAATGTAGAGTAGGCCTGGAGCCTCAAAGATGGAAACTGATCTAGTATGGTAGCATTATAATGTGGAAGTAAAAAGTAAAATGATTTTGTATAAAGAATAAATAATTCAGCAAAATAAAGATACCTAATTTCATTTATCCTTAAAACATTAAAGCTACTTTATTATACCAAAGCCATATTTAAATATTTGTCCTATCTATACTCTGCAAATTATAATTTTCTTATTAATGGAAAACTAGCATTTCTCCCTTTCGTAAACTGTAGTGTTCTCGTAAGTCTGGGCAAATGCTTCTCAGTGCAGGAAACCTAGTGCTAGGCTGTGGCATGATGGCAGGATGCAAAGTTTGTGTTATAAAATAAAGGCAATGGTAATAAATTGTGACAGAGTGCCCTCAATAGGATTGTTCCCTGAGACAGAAATGGATATAGCTCCTGAAAGCAGCATTTCACATTAAAACATGAATAAAACCCCTATGATGAATGTATCCAGGCAGTGCATCCAGGCCGATATAATGTAATATTTATAACTGCTACCTGCTGTTGAAGGGGTTTTCTCCTGGAATTATATGAGTACTCTCCTTCCCCACTAAGAGCTTGATTCGATCATAGAATGACTTCACGGCTGGTGAACCAGAGTAGCTCTGTTGTATGATGTCAAGAGGATCACGTGAGCCTCGGCACAGCAGACTATTTTGACAAGTAGACTGGAGGCAGCAATCTGGGTCTAGGCAGTCCACAAGGCCATCTGAAAGGGGAAGAATCATCAAAGTTCAGCCATCTGTAGTTAGCTACCAAATATGCAGGATTAGGGTCTGGACAAAAGTACACTTTAGCCACTTCGAAAGGGGTGAGGGAGCTGCTACTTGGGAGAACATGCTGTAGCTGTTATGCTGTAAATGCCACATTTGCATGAACCTGTGGCAATACAAGTTAGCGAAACTGCCGTAACATTGACCATGGATGAGGTGTGGCTAAAGGTGGAGCAGTTTTGCTGCTCCACCTTTAATTTTTGTGTCCATCTGTGCCCTACAGGGACACATTCAAAATAGTGAACACAGTTTAATTGCTTAACCTTACAACATTTGGCAGAGTAAATGTGCCAAATAAAGAGAGGAGGCCAGAACTGTTTTGTCATTCTTCTGCTTGAACTCCAATTATATTTTGATATGGTTAATTTCTGATTTACATCATTTGACAAGAAATTCAGGCCCAAAGAGGTCCATTTTAAGGAGCTAGGGCTGGGAGTAGCATTAATAGGTAGAAGGAGGAATCAGGAAGATAGGTGTTCAATTCTACTGGACAGGATTTGATGATCAGAGAATTCCTGTGGATAAGCTCTGCAGTATTTTTGGATAGGGAGGAAAAGGAAGGGATTTGGTTAAAAGAAAATGGAAAATGCAGTCAGGATGCTTCCCTTCAAAATCTGAATTATTAGGCTATCGTGTACTTGGATAAGAAGGGATCAATCATGCTTCTGCTGAGTTCAGTCAACAAACTGTGTTATATCATCCATCAAACCTGCCTTTAAGAACATCCTAATCTATTTAGAAAGAAAAAATAGAATCTGCAACCGGGAGACAGATACTAACCATGTCCACTAGCCTGCTGAGCAAAGTTGGTCCTACAATTAAATGCATTGTAATATAAATCTGTGCACTACCATTTTCATTTGTCCTCACTAATCTGAAACATGGCATTTAACTGAAGTTCTAGCACTACTTTCCTTTTAGCAAATAAATGATAAGTTGCAGTTATTTACTGATGTTCAAAATTATGAGAATTGATTATTCAATTTACAATATGTTTGAAATATCAGATAGACAAGTTCAAGTTCAGATATTCTTCCTCATATTATGGAACTGAACACCTGAAGGCTTGAGCAACCTGGACATGTACACAACACTGTAATCCATAATCATTCCATTGGGTTACTTAAAAACATGTAATTTTTTCCTGAAGACAAAATGAGTATCTTTAGAGCTTTTTTTTTTCTTTTCAATTTTTTTCATATACACAAGGACTAACTGTACCTTAGAGAAAGAGCATAAGGAACAGAGCTTTCTGCTTTTTGCAGTTAGCCACATATCTCCTATGGCTTGCACTTGAAGTAAGTGAAAACTCCTATGATCGAAATAACTGTGTCTGATTTTAAAAGAAAACTGCTAAGATATGCTGGCAAGTCTTCATTCAGCACCCATGGAAACATCTTAAGTTAGATGAACTTCCTGTTTGTTAGACCTATAGATTTCTTTAAGGTCAGTGGCCTATTCACATTAGGAACTCCATTCATCTTGAAGCCCCTTCCATCCTAGAGGTGGGATTGTTTTTTTCAGCAGTCTATTTTCTACAAACTTTATATAATCCATGTGAGGACATCATTGGGTTCAGATTATAACTCCAGACAGTTTTCCTATTAAGCATTGAGCACATTTTCCTCAGCGTCTTGCTCTTTCTGGGTTTGTGACACCTTCGCAACCATGAACTTAAAATTGTCCGCTCTTTAGTCTCGTCAGTGCTTTTATTCAACTGGCTGTCAGTCAAGAGAATCCTATCAACACATTAGAAATAGTAGAAGCAAAACATAGGATAGAAATTACTCCCTTTGACAAACTTATGTTTGTTTTCTCAAGCTATTGCACATTTTTGCTATGCCTGTTACTGTATGTGAGCATACGTTATGTCTATAATGACCTCATCATGCAGTACGATTATGGGCTCCTGCAGCCGAAGACCATGAACTTTAAATTGGCACACCAATCTCCCAGTGGCCTGTCAGTCATGAGAATCACATCTTTATGCCAGCAAGCCCCCTTGGATATAGTCTGACATTGCAATCTTCAGTAAATTACCCTGTCACTGCCAATCTTACAGTTATCTCGCAAACAATCAAGCAGGCAATCAAACTGTTCTGAATTGCCAGTTCAGGACCTGGGAGGCTAAAAACATCTCCATTCAATACCAGCAAGAAACCAGCATACGCTTCCTTTGATAATGGATGAATTTCACAAATGTGTGTGTGTGTTGTGTGTGAATATACAAATTTCACACCAGAGTTCTGAAAATATGTTAAAAGTGTCCAGTAACCTAATGTTAAATATACACATAATCTGCTTGTCTGCACATCTGCTTTTTTAATATATTCTAATTTATACTGTCCCACAGTAACTTTGAAAAGAATAAAAAGCGGTTGGAAACAAACTCCAGCTATGACTCCATTACATGAGTACATCTTTCATGGTAATTTAAAGGGAATTAAATACTGCTACACATCATAGAAGATAACTGCAACCCATTATTCTTATCATGTTAAATTCATTATCCTCATCAGGTCAATTCAGATATGTTAGTACTCCTCATATGAAAGCAAGGACATTTTGTTTAATGAGTATTTTAGGCCAGTGTGAAGCTTTATTACTGTGAGAAGTCAAGGGCAGCATTACTAAAAGACAATGATCAAGGTGGTTTTGAATGCCCAAAATGTTCTGTTTTGGAAGAAAAAAACAGTAAGGAGTGAATGACAGATGCATGTAGAAGTTATTTCCATTTTCCACTGACTTTAATGGGGGATGACTTAAGTCCAAGCTACAGCCTTCCACACAAACCAAAAGCAAAAGTTTAAACAATGGAATTTCTCCAAGATCAGAGTGGCCGTATCTAGTATATATAAAGTTGTTATGCATATAAAAATATGGTTAGACACACTGAGTAATTTACAGAAAATTCATCAAAATATAAGAGGGAAAAAAAACCCAAAGGAAAATGAAAACAATATGCTAGCCTCAACAGGTTACCTAGAGAGGTGGTGGAATCTCCATCCTTGGATTTTTTAGGGTCCAGCTCAGCAAAGCCCTGGCTGCAATGAACTAGTTGGGGTTGGTCTGTTTTGAAAGGGGGTTGGACTAGATGATTTCCTGAGGTCCCTTCCAATCCTAATTTATTATGATTCTATGCTGGACTGATATAACTGGCTGAACTTCACCGTCATTTACATTCGCACAACGCCTGGATGATGGTTAGAAAATTATTTTTCAAGGTTTGCTTTTAGAAGTTGGCTTGTAGGTAGAGTAGATATGCATTAGAAATAGGTCCAAGGGTGGCCAGGGTTAATTGCTTTCTAAAACCTGTTTGTGACAAAGGTTCACAGCCTTCAAGGCAGGCACTGTGCCTGAGGCCAATGGACAAGCAGGTATACTCATCCTGGAAAATTAAAAACATGAACAGTGTACCCATAACAAAGATAAAGGACTCTGTAGCATTGGCTAGGCCACAGTGATGAACTGCAGAGCCCCTGGGATTTCTGGTTCTGGTGGATGGACCAAATTATGAGCCCAGGGCATGGCCAAATAAAGACACCAGTAAATGACCAAATTAAGATTTGTGCATGTGATGGGTTTGGGAAAACAAGGAATAAGCTGACAGGACAGAAGGTGGACAGTATGATGGTCACAGGAAGACCAATCAATGATTTAATAGATTTCATAGACATTAAAGCTGGAAGGGACCTCTCAAGACCACTGGGGCCCCTGCCCAAGGGGCAGCAAGTCAGCTAGGGTCAAAGAACCCCAGCAAGATAAATGTCCAAATGTTTCTTGAAAGCGTCCAGAGTAGGTGCTTGCATCACCTTTGGGGGGAGTCTGTTCCAGGCCTTGGGGGCTTGGACAGTAAAGAAGTTTTTCCTTATGACCAGCCTAAAACAGTCTTTCAGGAGTTTGTGATCACTGGACCTTGTCATCCCCTGGGGTGCTCTGGTGGACAGGTGTTCCCCCAGATCCTGATGCACACCCCTTATGTACTTACAGGCTGTCACCAAGTCACACCTGGGCCTACGCTTCTCCAGGCTGAAGAGCCCTCTAGCTTGCAGCCTCTCTTCATAAGGCCTCTTCTCTTGCCCTCTGATCATGTGCATGGCTCTCCTCTGGACTCTTTCAAGCTTTTCCACATCCTTCCTAAATTGTGGAGCCCAGAATTGGATGCAGTACTCCATCTGCAGCTCACCAAGGCCAAGTAAGTGGGAGGATGACATCTTGGGTCTTGCTTGAGAAGCATTGGTAGATGCAAGCCACAGTTTTGTTCGCTTTGCCAGCTGTGGTATTGCATTGGTGGCTCATATCCAACTTGTGGTCAATCATGACCCCCGAGTCTCTTTCGGTCATGGTGCTAGTGAGTGTAGCATTGCCAAGCCTATAACTGTGATATGGGTTTTTATTCCTGAGGTGGAGCACCTTGCATTTCTCCATGTTGAATACCATCAGGTTTTTATCTGCCCACCTTGCTAGTCTATCAAGGTTGGCCTGGATCACCAGCCTATCCTCAAGTGTGGACACTCTTCCCCAAAGTTTGGTGTCATCAGCGAACTTGGCCAGTTCACTTTTGACACTAGTGTCCAGATCATTTAAAAGACATTAAGGAGTATAGGGCCAAAAACAAAGCCTTGGGGGATGCCACTAGTCACTGAGTGTCTTGCTGATTCCATTCCGTCAACTACCACTGTCTGGGTCTGACCTCAGTGCCTGTCCCCCAGCCATCAGACTGTGAAGTAGTTGAGGCCACATTTGGCCAAATTTTCCATGAGGACATCATGGGACACCAGGTGGTCAAAGGCTTTTTTAAAGTCCAAATATATGACATCAACCACTTCCTTTTTGTCCAGGTGATACGTCACCTGGTCATAGAAGGAAATGAGATTGGTCAAGCAAGACCTATTCACTACAAACCCATGCCAGCTATTCCTCAGAATGTTGCTTT